CTGTAAAATGTAGTATGTAGCGTTGGTGAAAATAAGTCAACTTTTTTATTTTGAAGGCGTTGCTGTCGTTAAGACTTTTTAAAATTTCTTTCTAAAGTTGTCTATAAATTTCACAGATTGTTTTGTACATGTACGGAGATTATAATGTTCTTTCATGGGTGTAAATTTCATCAAAGTCGGGTAAATGGTTGTTAAAATATTAAGTTACACCCATCTGATTCTCATCCAGTGTATTCGCCTGTGTAACTGTGCCTAAATCTCCTAGTATCGTTTTTACAAAAGTATTTTTAAAATGTTAAAATTTGTTCTTTTTTTATAGGGAGGGCGGGGCGCTTAAGGCTAACATTAAACATCAAAGATAAAATTCCAGACCTTACTTTGCATGAGTGGCCTTCATTAATGCGCTTTTAGATTATGAGGGTCTTCTAACTTTTAGGCAAATATGCAAAGACTTGAGAATATTAGACAGAGCGATTGTTTTTGGTATTTTTAAATCTTGTTTTAACTGCGGATAGACAAAAGTGAACAAGCCAGTGCAATACAACGTCGTTGAAGAAAACCGCGACAAACTTATCTTTCTTGCAATAGTAATGATAAGTCTAGATCACCTGCTTCCCTAGGAAAAATGTATTGTTTGTTGTATATTTTTGGTTCAAAAGTATGCTTTGTGTGTTATATCCGTGTTACTTTGTGTATGTGTATGTGTGTGTATGTGTATGTGTATGTGTGTGTGTGTTTGTTTGTTTGTTCGCGTGTGTATGTGTTTGCAAAACGAACGCGCTTGTCTATACATGTACTTACTTTTTAGTGACGTTTTTCTGTTTTGTTTTGTTGTGTGTTTTATTTGATTAAATAACATAATAAGTTCTCTTTATTCAAAATAGAAGGAGGTGAGAGATTTTTTTTAATAAGAAAGAAGGAGCAAACCACACCAGAGCTCTCCCACCAACCACCCACAAACGATATTGATATTAATGTAAATGTCTGAAATATTATCCCTTATAATAGCTTGTTCACTTTCAACTGACGGCGAATGAAATCGCTGTTTGATCTTCTTCGCGGACGCTGAAAAAGCGAGCCTGACCCAACCCTAGTCCAAGCTCGTGTATTATCAGTGGGAATCTTCGGTCTAATTTTAGCCGTTTCAGCATCACAACGACAGTGGAAATTAGAATCTAGCAGTACACAACCTCCGAGAACAATTGCTACGCTACACTTACACTTAACGCCTTATGTTGTTGGGAAACACTAGATCTAGAAGTAGAAGTGGAACCAAGCCGTCACCGAATTCAAACACTAATTTGTCAAGTTCAAGTCTCACAGTTGGTTAGGACTCGTAGATCTCTTCGTACTGTCGTACTGCACCAGACACCAGATAATCAGAGTTACCACCACAAGGCCAAGGTAAGGTAACTTCGTTTGATTTGATTTTTGAATCACTCAGAAGCCAGAAATGTTCAAGGAAAACCGCGAAAATTTTAAATGGTAGATTATCATATTATGCACACACCGAAAAGTCTTCCATTCGAATAGCCTAATACAATTCATTATGAAATTGCTTCCTTTCTTCAATTAACTTTTGATTTTCTCTTACTAAAATAAAAATACCACTGTATTCACGGCAATCGCAAGTTTTTGTTTTACAATTCAGGAATGGCTAAATATTCCGAAAACAAAGGTTGAAATCACAAGGCCCTAGATTATATTGACTGACTGAGCTGTAAGCAAATGTACACTTAAACTTAAAATTTAAAATATTGCTTTCCTGATTATTTTCATTGTGTTGTAAGAAATCCGTCAAAAGTTTTCTCCACCAGTAATTTCTCTAATCAAACAATAACGCAAAACCGCCATGGAAATAAAATCGGCCATTTGTGTCAACGAATGTTTACCTGGACACAGTCCAAAAATTCTCTTTCCTTTCGTCTCTTCCGATCTGTGCTCTTATGTCATTTCTATTTATAGCCTAGGCAAATATTCTCAAGTCTCAACTACCACGATCTTTGATTATAATTTATATAACAACAAAATAACGACAAAATATCAATCCAAACGTCCTAATTTAGTTGCTTTTACTTGGTTTTAAGATAGTCTACATTGATACAAGAACTGATAACATTTAACTGATAACAACAAATAACTGATAACAACAAAATGAAATACTGATAACAACAAAATAACGACAAATATCAACACAAACGAGCTTTCACAAAGGTGATCAATCCAATACAACTTTTTAATAATTATATTTTCATCGTCAAACAAAACTGTATGACAGGACAACCGATACATGATTACATAATATACAACAGGACGTATATATGGCTAATTAAACTCATAATCATCAACTTGAGAAGATAATCTTTCCTGAATTATTTACTTCTTTCATAATATAATCAGAAGACTCATAGTTGAAATTATATTACGTTTAACTATCAAGACGAGATATTTTACGCAAGACCCAAAGAGCAAAGTTTAAAATGGAGTCTCAGGATGTATATATTATAATTTCGAGGGAATTTTGTTAAATTGTAGTTTTATTTGGGTTATTTGGATAGGCCTACTGAAACTTCAAACTACAGGATTTGTCTGATCTAGGCTATACAATCATACATGGAATTTATATTTTTAATCAATTAATCAATTTGATTTTAATAACTGCACGTTGGTGAGAAAAAAGATATGAATAGACACAGGATTACATTTTTTTCACGATAAATTGTCACTTTCAATTGTACGTTCGATTTGAATATAAACTAAGAAAAAAGGACGCAGCTCCGTTCATCGCTAAAGAATATAATATTCTACTTCTGGTAGTTGCTCGGAGTTGTGCACGTAAAGTGTGGATATTGTTTTTTTAGGCAGGAATCACAAAGTATTTTTGTCTTATCACTTGTTATTTGTTGTTATCCGTTATTATTTGTTGTTTTCCGTTGTCATTAATTTTTGTTATCTCGACAAAGATAAATACACTTGTACATGGGACTCAGCTCCGATATTTATTCGCCCTTATCCGAGAAGGCTAGGAGTTCGATTTTACCTACCCTAAGATCAGGTGTATGGCTGAAAAACAGAAGTAGAAAGTATTTTAAGGAGCCGTGAGTAACAGTGATAGAAAGAGTCAGGAGTCCAAAGG